TATATGGGACACCCTTGTGTATTTTTAATTTATTGAAAACAATTTAAAATTACCTTTCCAAAAATATAAAACACTTGATATTTTGCTCAATTCCTCTTCGAGATATGAGTATATAAAAATTCGCCCGCTTTAAATGAGTAGGCTTTGAACGGTACCGGCTGTAATGTAATTAATCAACATCAACACATTTAAACTATATCTAATGACAAGAAAAATAAATAGCAAACCAAGACATGAGATTTTGCTACAGGTGTTCTCGACATCAGTCGTCTGTTAGCATGGACAGACGGGGGCAGTTTTTGAACATTTCTCGCGGAATTCATTAACTCAGTGGGGGTGAAAGATACCCTCTCATAACTGCTAAGTATTTCTAATTCTTGTCTAGATTATCCGGAAGAATAAGGAACCTTTAGTTTTCCGCAAATATATCGATAGGATTTATTATTTTATGATTAGATCCATGGGCACTAAGTCAGGCGGCCTCGACGGCCAACGGCTGGAATCTTGGTTGGCTATTCAATTATTCTTGAAATTGGATGCAAAAATTTGCTGATAACTTACTAACCAAAGCCTACTAGTTAAAAGTGGCGAACTTTTAAAAATTCTGTATTTCGAAGGGGATTATAACAAAATATCAAGTGTGCTATATTTTTGGAAAGGTAATTTTAAATTCTTTTCAGTTAATTAAAAGTATAGAGGGTGTCCCAAATAAAAAATCAATTTTTCTGTTGATAACTCTTAAATTGTTAATTTTTAAAAATTAAACTTAAACCATTAAATTCTAGGTAAAAGGTGCTTTGGAAATGTTTTATAGAAATACAAAATTTTCGATAGCAAAAGTTACAGCGATTTGTTAAAAATGCACATTCTTTTGAAAAACACCCCGTAACTCCGAAACGGTAACAGATGATGATGTGCGGTTTTCACCATCATGTTTTTATGAAAAGTGAGCTCAAGACACCGATATTAGTTTTCGTCTATCTCCTATAGAAAGGATGTTTCCATTTAAAAGCGTCGAATTTGACCCACCTTATGCAGTATTGAACCTTTTTAACTAGTTCTGAGCTCGGGATTGGCAGATAAAGATCGTGCTCCGCATTCCTAAGTGGATAGTTATGAGATGGCCTTTCGGGAATAGCAGATATATACTTGCGGATTAAGCAAACGGATTCAAAAATTAATAAAAAAGTATTTTGAAATTTTTAAAGAAATTCTGGCAGTGAGTTCCAGTCTGTTCAGTCCCAATAAATATCGAACTGCTCTCTTTTGAAGTCTGAAAATATGGTCAAATTTTGTTGGGCAGCAAGAACCCCAGAATGGAAGGGCATAACGAAGATGTGACTCAAAAAGGGCATAATAGGCAATTACAGTTGAGGGTTGGAACCTTTGGTGTTTGGAACGCCCACTCGGTACCTACTGGGCGAGTATATAAACGCTCAACTTGTAGATTGTACTTTAGTTTATAATCATCTGCTGATGATGCTAACATGGTTAGCGAAACGCGCGTCCAGTGTAAAAGTAAAAGTGTTTTGGTGTATTGTGGTGATTTAGTGTAATTTTATTTTGCCATAATAGGCATATAAAATTAAAATAATTTTTTATATTGTCATTCGCGTCGCAAAAATCAATACTTTTGTGACGTGTGAATAAAAAACGTATTTTTTAAACATATACATAACTGTAAAAATGAAAATTTAAATAAAAAACAGTTTTATTGTTAATATTTTCGAAAAGTACTATGAAAAATTCATGTAAAATGTGTCTTTTTCAACGTTTTAAAAACGAAAACTGTCGAATTGGTGTGTCTGTAGGTGTTGAGAAGAAAACGGTTTGTGAAAGTTATGATAAAGCGCCTCAGAGAGAGATATTTATAATTTTTAACGTCGAAGAACTGTTAACAAACGGTCTACGATTTTGTTACTTTATTCCAAAGTTGACACAGTTTACTAAAAAACATATCGCTGTCTACATCCATTAAAATGTCCACAGAAAAACAATAAACTATGCATTTTAAAAGAGAGATACTTTAAATTATACATCTGAGAAAAATCATTAAGAAATTTAAAACTATACCGGGTGTTGCATCGTCGAGCGGGACATAGGAAATCCCATGTAAATTTTAATGGGGTCAATTATTGGCTTCCCTAATTATTTTAGAGAATAATTCTATTTAGGTTTATTGAAGAGCACTAAAACCCACATTCAATATAATAAAATTAGATATTTTTGATCAGCCCGTTTACGAGTTATCGCCGATTTCTTTTTAAATATTTCTCCTTTCTTATGGCCCTGTATTTACTTATGAGCACCAGTCAAGATAAAAGATAACTGTCAAATTTCAGAAATGTATTAAAAACTCATACCTACATCGAAAATATTAGTCATGAATTACACTACCGAAGAAAAAGTATTGATGATTAAATGGTCAATTATCAAGGAAATAGTTATCAAAAGGTGTCGGACATGTTTGCTGCTCTGTATCCGAATAGACCGATACCTGGAAAATCTACAATCGCAAGGAGTATCCAGAGATTTGAGACCAAAGGTACCCTAATAAATAACTGCAGATGTGAAGTAAGGCAGGAACAAAGAGAAGATGCAAGAAATGATACCGACTTGGAAGTTTTATTGTGCGTGGAAGAGAACGATGGAAAGATCAGCACAAGGAAACTTGAGGATGAAATAGGAACAGATCACACTACAGCGTTTCGAATTTTGAAACGACATAAATACTATTCCTTCAAATATGAAAAGCACCAAGAGCTACGAGATGGGGACGAAATACGGCGGCAGGCGTTTTGTTTTGATATGATGGAAAGAGCAAACACGGATAGGGAATTTTTAAAAAAACATATGTTTCACTGACGAATGCACGTTTACCTTAAATAATGAACCCAATGTTCAAAATTATCGATATTGGAACAAAGAAAACCAACACTGGTTTGTCGAAACAAGGACGCAATATCCACAGAAAGTAAATGTTTGGGCAGGGATATTCGGACACAATATTATCGTGCCATTATTTCTCAAAAATCATATTTTACCTGCTTTACATGATGCCTCTAGGGAAAATCAGGAAGTTTGGTACCAAATGGATGGCTGCCCGGCACATAGTACCCTGGCTGTTCGGAAATATTTAGACAATAGTTTTAACGGAAACGTTATTGGCCTAAATCATACAGTAAATTGGCCAGCAAGGTCTCCTGATATTTCGCCAAATGATTTCTTTCTCTGGGGCCATTTAAAAAACAGGATATACAAGGATAAAAAATACCCAAATCTAGACGAGTTAAAAAATGCTATTTCTGCCGAATGTAATAGAATTTCAGTCATTACCAACTAGCGAATGTAAGAAGAGAATTTTATGATCGCCTGGGTTATTGTCTAGCAGACGATGGAGGAATATTTGAACATCTTCTTAAATCCTAAAGTTCTAACAATTTAATAGTACCTAAATTAATAAGTTAATGAATATTGTAATAATACTATAATTAACCTTGTAATTGATAACTTTATTTTATCGGTTACTTCGGTGCCATATTATTCTGCAGTTAAAAATCTTTTTATGCCAAAAGTTCAACAGAAACTGTTTTATCATCATTTTTTCGCAGAAAAAAATACGATTAATTTAAAAAAATAATTTTATCTGCAGAATATGCTGCCGAAGTTTCCGGAATACAGTTCGGGCCACCCTGTATACTATGCGATGAAATAAAAACAATGTCACAGAAGACGCGGAGAAATAACCATTTCAGTTCCAAGTTACTATGTTTATCACCGAAATTCTTCACAACGATATCGAAAAATATTTGATGTCAATTTACACCTTATTTTCTGAAATTTTAATGTAAAAAAATAGATTTTCGTCTATTATTTAAAGGAAAACACAACAAACATTTCTGAAAACTGTTTGAACTGAATTTCTTTAAGATTCAGTTAAAACAGTCTCAGCGTCAGTTGTTATATTATGCATCAAAATACTGACAGAAGTTAAAACAAATTATAGGAATAGTTTTAAATTTCTTTAGCTTACAAATCATTCGATGTGACAATCACAGTTATCCTTTGATTTGTAGAGCAAAACAAAATCAATTTTGAGACACAGTTACTGACAATAACAATTTTAAAATTCAGATTCCACAGTAAAAATCTTGTAGGTTATTTAATAATTTTCTTCATTTAATATCTGAATTTTCAAAGATGCTCTAAACTAAAATAATTTGAATGAACTTTTTGTCATTATTTCTGGAATACCCTGTGATTTAAAGTAAAAACATGTAATTTAAAATTTTGAATCGTGATTTATAAGAAAGATGTCTTTAAAATATATATATATTATCTATTTTACTGGAATTCAGTAGGTACCTGATTGAGATATGTCTTTTATCGTCAGTGTTTATCCCTAATCCCTCTGCAACAGCTTGTGAAAGGCATCTATGTGAAGTCTGTCCCATTTATAATGTCTTGAACTTGTTTAGATTCTTGTCATTGTCCAAATTACAAGAATCTATGCTTTTGGGGAGTTATACTCTTCATTCAACTTCTATCAAGTCCATTAACAGCCAATTTATATTTTTTTGATCAACTCCACGCCAAAAGATACCAGCAGAATCCTTAGATTTCTTATCTACATTTTTATTTTTTACTTGTTAGGTACTTGGATTCCAATCCACCTTTTTAGAAGTCTACTCGGGTTGATCTGAAGCTCCCAGAAGAACTTCCTAACCCAGATTGATATCTAGAAGCATTGGAGTACTTGTAGACGTTGTTGTTGTCGCGGTAGAAGTCCTGGTGACTGCTCCAAGCGTGGTGTGAGTTTTTAATGTCTAAATAGTTTGATGTATTGGCTTGAGAAATCATCCCAAGGTTTGAAGCTGCTAGGTAGTGGACTAGTCAGTCTCTAGTATCTTTAGGAAGATGGTATTTTTGGAGAAGAACATGCTTGGATGATTTGAATTAAACAGGTACCTGTTTGAACTAGATTCATTTATTGTTTATTCCTAATCCCTTTGCAGAAGTTCGTGAAGAGCAGCAATGTAAGTCTGTGCCATTTGTAACGTCTCGAACTTGCTCAGCTTCCTGTCATTTTCCAAACTAGGCACCACGTCCCTTAACCTATCGAAAGCATCATTCAAACTGTTCATTTTTCGTCTTTCACGAGCGTTTGCAGCTAGCCTACGTTTTTTCATCACTTCCACACCAACAGGAGCTGCAGAATTGACAGTTTTCTTATCCGTAGTCTTGTTTTTGCTTGCCAAGTACTTTGATTCCAATCCAGCTTTGTAGAAGTCTTCCTGGGTCGATCTGAAGCTCCCAGAAGATCTTCCTGATCCAGATTCATATCTAGAAGTATTGGAGTACTTGTAGACGTTATAATTCTCCCCGTAGACGTCATGGTGACTGCTCCAAGTGTAGTGTGAGTTCTTAGTGTCTAAATAGTTTGGTGTATTGGCTTGAGAAGACATATCAAGGTTTGAAGCTGTTGGTAGTGAACTGGTCAGAGTCTAGCAATTTTTGAGAGACGATATTTTTGGAGAAGAACATGCTTGGATGATTTGAATTAAGTAAGTACCTGTTTGAACTAGATTTCTTCATTGTTTAGACCTAATCCCTCTGTAAAAGTTCGTGAAGGGCAGCTATGTAAGTTTGTGCCATTTGTAACGTCTCAAACTTGCTCAACTTCCTGTCATTTCCCAAACTAGGCACCACGTCCCTTAACCTATCGAAAGCATCATTCAAACTGTTCATTCTTCGTCTTTCACGAGCGTTAGCAGCTAGTCTACGTTTTTTCATCACTTCCACACCAACAGGAGCTGCAGAATTGACATTTTTCTTATCCAAAGTCTTGTTTTTATTTGTCAAGTACTTCGACTCCAGTCCAGCCTTGTAGAAGTCTTCCTGGGTTGACCTGAAGCTCCCAGAAGATCTTCCCGACCCAGATTCATATCTGGAGCTGTTCGAGTACTTGTAGACGTTATTATTCTCACCGTAGAAGTCGTGGTGGCTGCCCCAAGTGTGATGTGAGTTCTTGGGGTCGAAGTAGTTCGGTGTGTAAGGCTGGGAGGACATCCCAGGGTCTGAAGCGGTGGACAGTGGGCTGGTCAGCGCGTAGTGACTTTCAGGGGATGAAATCCGGGGCGAGGGGCACCCGTCCGACGAAGACGTAGCGCGGCGGTAGTCACTGGTCGCCTTGTACATGCTGTGGGACGGTTTCGCGGACGCTGCAACATGTCCACATCGGGGAAGAGAAGGCTCGCGGTCGCGGTGGCTCGTGGATGACCGCGCGGCTCGTGAAAGCGGCTCGGACTGGAGATAGCGGCGGCGTCGGCCGTGGAGGAAGGTCGCGGATACGTCGCGGAGATGCGGTCGCCAAAAGAAAGGGGGAAACAAGGTGGGATGGGGCGGCCGAGATTTTCGCGCGCTATATTGGTTTCGGACGAGGAAGCGAACGTACTCTTGTCTTCCGCTTGGTTTTCGACTAGCTTTTCGTGAAATTTCGCCATTTTTTAACAGTCGTAGTCATACTAACGAAATTTTATTGCTTGAATACAGGGTGTTGTTGTATGAGTAGAGATAACGTTTCCTAAATTTCAATACCTCTATTATAAAATTTATCTTTTATGCATTTTTAATGTACCTATTCTCTGCTTTTACGTTTGCTTCTTCTTTTCAATGGAGTTTAATATTGAAAAATACTTTATTAATAAACTGTTAAACTCGTTAGACAGCTCAAGTGAAGATTTGCAGGTCCAATATTAAAACAGATCAATAATAAATAAACAAGTCTAATCAATATTTATATTTTTAGAGCTTACAAAACATTCACGATTATTTGTTGTCTTGTATTTCGTGTTTTCTTTAAATGTTCTTGACTTTAAGGAAAAATGGCTGCATGATAAGTTTAAATGGTCCTAAAAAGTAATTCTATTTAGTTAATGAAATTTATTTACCTTTACTGCCTACCTCCATTATTGCTTTTGGATGTAAATACAAAATATTATTACAAATTTTAGAAATTAAATGAGAATTTCACTCGAACTTCCAATATTTGTTTGATTTCTGTCACATAAATGACATTGATTGACGAATAAAACCAGAACAACCAGCCTTCTCGCGCTGGTTAGTTTGGTGACAGTTATAACCGAATTTTTCAGGAACCGTGTTCCGTAATAAGAACCCGAATAGAAACGGAACATAAAACCATGATAAAACCATAACCAAGGTAAGCAACGGAATACACCCTTCAATTTTCTGTGAGCTTGCAGCTCTGCCTATACCGGATGTTGCATCGTCGGACGGGACATAGGAAATCTCATGTAAATTTTAATTGGGTCAATTATTGGCTTCCCTAATTATTTTAGAGAATAATTCTATTTAGGTTTATTGAAGAGCACTAAAACCCACATTTAAAAGAATAACTTTAAATATTTTTGATTAGCTCGTTTACGAGTTATCGTCGATTTCTTTTTAAATATTTCTCCTTTCTTATGGCCCTGTATTTACTTATGAGCACCAGTCAAGGTAAAAGATAACTGTCAAATGAAGTTGTCATTTCAGAAATTTATCTATTTAGTGCTTTCTTATTATTGAAAACTCATTCCTACATCGGAAATCTTGAAGATGTATTTATAAATACAAATTAATATGAATTAAAGTAAAATAATGTAATCAATTACAAGGTTAATTATAATATTATTACAATATTCAATAACATATTAATTTAGGTACAATTAAATTGTTAGAACTTTAGGATTTAAGAAGATGTTCAAATATTCCTCCGTCGACTGCTAGACAATAATCCAGGCGATCATAACATTCTCTTCTTACATTCGCTAGTTGGTAAACTGAAATTCTATTGCATTCGGCAGAAATAGCATTTTTTAACTCGTCTAGATTTGGGTATTTTTATCCTTGTATATCCTGTTTTTTAAATGGCCCAGAGAAAGAAATCATTTGGCGAAATATCAGGAGACCTTGCCGGCCAATTTACTGTATGATTTAGGCCAGTAACCTTTTCGTTAAAACTATTGTCTAAATATTCCCGAACAGCCAGGGTACTATGTGCCGGGCAGCCATTTTCCCTAGCGGCATCATGTAAAGCAGGTAAAATATGATTTTCGAGTAGTTCCAAATAATATTCTGCATTTAAATTTCGCGTAAGAAATAATGGCCCAATAATATTGTGTCCGAATATCGATAATTTTGAACATTGGGTTCATTATTTAAGGTAAACGTGCATTCGTCAGTGAAACATATGTTTTTTAAAAATTCCCTATCCTCTTTCCATCATATCAAAACAAAACGCCTGCAGCCGTATTCCGTCCCTATCTCGTAGGTCTGGGTGCTTCTCATATTTGAAGGAATAGTATTTATGTCGTTTCAAAATTCGAAACGCTGTAGTGTGATCTATTCCTATTTCACCCTCAAGTTTCCTTGTGCTGATCTTTCCATCGTTCTCTTCCACACACAATAAAACTTTCAAGTCGGTATCATTTCTTGCATCTTCTCTTTGTTCCTGCCTTGCTTCACATCTGCAGTTATTTATTAGGGTACCTTTGGTCTCAAATCTCTGGATATTTTTTGCGATTGTAGATTTTCCAGGTATCGGTCTATTCGGATACAGAGCAGCAAACATGTCCGACACCTTTCGATAACTATTTCCTTGATAATACCATTTAATCATCAATATTTTTTCTTCGGTAGTGTAATTCATAGCTAATATTTTCGATGTAGGTATGGGTTTTAATAATAATAATAAAGCACTAAATAGGTAAATTTCTGAAATGACAACTTCATTTGACGCCTGGATTATTGTCTAGCAGTCGATGGACGAATATTTGAACATCTTCTTAAATCCTAAAGTTCTAACAATTTAATAGTACCTAAATTAATAAGTTATTGAATATTGTAATAATACTATAATTAACCTTGTAATTGATTACATTATTTTAGTTTAATTCATATTAATTTCTCATTTTTTTTTCATAATCTTCAAGATTTCCGATGTAGGAATGAGTTTTCAATAATAATAAAGCACTAAATAGATCAATTTCTGAAATGACAAATTCATTTGACAGTTATCTTTTACCTTGACTGGTGCTCATAAGTAAATACAGGGCCATAAGAAAGGAGAAATATTTAAAAAGAAATCGGCGATAACTCGTAAACGGGCTAATCAAAAATATCTAAAGTTATTCTTTTGAATGTGGGTTTTAGTGCTCTTCAATAAACCTAAATAAAATTATTCTCTAAAATAATTAGGGAAGCCAATAATTGACCCCATTAAAATTTACATGGGATTTCCTATGTCCCGCTCGACGATGCAACACCCGGTATGTATATTATCATCAGCATAAATATATAGTATAGATCAAAACTATCTGACTTAGTATTTGATTGGTGAACGTCATTTGAAGCCAATCCATTTTTAGACCCACTCGAGATCATCGAGAACGTACTTGCCTACCGTGCCAAGTACCGGCATGATAGATGGAGTACTGCAATTCCATTTCATCCGCTTTAAGTGGTTCTTTCAGGCTAATTCCGTATCTGGGCTGCAGATGACGCGCAGATGCATAAACATAATTCAGTGGGTTCTCTGTTTGAACTGTAATTAATTCGTACATGCGTATTTCAAGACAAATATTGGTTCCTTTCTTTCAGTGTAGAGCAGAAGTGTTTGAATAGGGTTTATCGGAATTTAAATCGACAGGTACGACACCTGTCTTCTACTGTTGACATTGTTTTGTCTTTTTTTATCTCGATATTAAGGGGCAGTACTTTGCCGGAAATACTGCGACATGTAATGCCGGGTCCAGAATACGCAGACAAAACAATAATAAGACAGAAACATTCATGTTTTACGACAAAATCGCAACACATCCATTTCATCCACGCACATTTCTGCGACATTTTTGTCTCATTTTTGTTTTGTTTCAAAATTTGGAGACTTAATAAAAAATAATGCCAACAAATTTATCTATACAGGGTTGTTCACCACATACGACACGGAGTATTGTAGCTAAACGATGAGATTTTTACAAATTGTAAGTTTGGGGTTCGTTGAAGGACTATTAGAGCTACAATTTAAAAATATTTTTACAAGATACAGAGTGTCCCAAATAAATAAAAAAATATCAAAGTTTTATTTTTTTAAATGGAACACCCTGTATATTATTACATTTTTAGTTTCTACGATTAAAATAAAGGTAAATTTAATTAAGGTTTATTGCACTTAAACCTTACCGTTTTTGAAATATTTGCAATTTTGTGAAATTGCAGTATAAATTTTAAGGCTTCATTTCTCCGAGGGTATCAAAGTTTTTAATACTAAATATTTACTGAAGTTTATTTATTGATCAGTTATTGTGTTGCAATAATAAAAATTTTACTATCTTATACAGAGTGTCTCAATATTTAATTTAAATAATTATTAGCTGTAACCGGCAATAACTTGTTTAATTTAAATGGAACACCCTGTATATTTTATAAGAATCAGATGCACAATTTAATTGACTATCAAACTGTATTATACCATTTTTACCTGTCTCTTCAAGTTTCCGTAGAAAATGCATTTTATTGTAATTTAGAACGTATTTATCAATATACCCATGGAATACTGACATTTTAAATTATTTTTAAAGATGTACCTAATTTTTAAAGAGTACAGATACTGATATTGTGGATATAGTTCGTTTATTTCATTAAAAAATAAAAAAAACTGTTTAAATGTTTATTAAAGAGGACCAATTAATATGTTTCCAGTATTCAAACTACATTAATTGACTGTTTGCGTTGATTAATAATAATTGCTTCAAATACTAAAAAACTGAATTATGTATGTGTATTAGATAGTGTGGTAAAAAAACTAACATCTTAAAAATGTTATTTCACTTTTTGACAAATGCTTATTTATAACAACAGAGACGTTCATTTTCATAACTTATTATTATATTGATTTCTGATTCAAATCCACATTTATTTAGAATAATTTATTAACGAACACAATTAAGTATGTAATTAATTAGTATTTGGGCAGAAATACTGGTGGTATATTTAATTAAAGGTATACACTTTTTAAATTTTAAATAGTTTTCTTTTGCATATAAATGGGCTAGTAATATTACCGTTTTACTAAAAACGATAATATGACTAGCCTGTACATTTTGTAGATTTGTTGTTTTAAAAACAATCTAAAA